AGTTGCTCCCCAGTCATCTGCAACTTGGCAGCCTATCTACAGGAAAATCGACTGCTCCTCGTGGTCTCCTCTCCTCACAGGGAGTGATTCAGATACAGCAAGTAGGAATTCTTGAGTGTTTCTTCACCTGGTGAATGCGGGTACCACAGTCTCTGAATCTGGACACACCTTACATCTCCTGCACCCTCTCTTCTCTGCACATGGGATGCCTCCGGACTGTGGTGCTTCTCTCTCAGTTGATGATGATATTCCACTGTCTTCTAACTTTCACTATTGCAGATGAGGAATTCATTAGTCCTCTCTGTCTCCTTTGTGAATAACGAGAGTGTTCTGTCTCCTTTCTAGAAACTTGAAAACATACTTACATATATTTATCCCTAAAGTTAAAGAATGGTTGGGCTGTGTGGGTGTGTGTGTTCTTCTAAATGTTACATGTGTTTTCTCTTGCTAAATAACTTCTACTTGGTTTTAGAATCACTCACTTGGTTAGCAGCAAGACCATTCTCTCTTATTCAGCTGTCTACTATATGTTTGACTTTGGAGATGATGGCTTGTACCCCTGCGCCCCACTCACCCTAACCCCAAGTTACTTGTTTTGGTTGTGTTGTTTGGTGATAAGGTTCCCATAAGTGCACTTATTAGACAGAATTTTTATTTTGGTCAATGTGTTCTCTCTGCCACTTCTTTTTACTCTTTAGCTTCAGTAGGCACTTCCAGAGTCTCTGGTGTCTCGTCCTTTCCCGCATGTGGGGTGCCCCTGCACAGCTCAGTGCTTTCCTGGAGTGTCTCAGGAGGCAGTGGGAAGTTCCATGAGCCTCTAGGGACAAGTCTTTCTACCCTCTGACTTCCTCAGCGGCCGCTCCCACCATATTGGATGGGGTCAGTGACCTCTTCAGGTTCCCCAGCTCCAGGGGGGCCAAGTTCACTCAAGTTCATTCAGGGGAGAGCAGGCAGCCCCCTCTGAACAGTGAAGCGGCAGCATCCCCGATCTTCATCCACGCTTTCTTCTGGATGCAGGCCAAAGGGAAAACCAGCGGCATTAGCTTTGTCTGCTGGGACCTCGTGGTGTCCGTGATCTCATTTGTACCTTGAGCACAGCTCAGCTCCCAGGACGTCTTTAGGCTACCATTATGCTGGCGTCCTGGCGACATATTTACAGGAAAGCTCTGCCTACTCCCCTAATGTCCTTTTCTTTCACACAAAAGCATTGTCCTGGCTGAAGGGAAGGTCCAGCATTCGGATGGACTGGCGCTCGGGATGCAGCCAAAGAGCTGGGGACCTACCTTCTCCCAAACTACACGGGAGCACACCTTAGACCAGTGATGCCATGCTGTGCGAAGCAGACCCTGTCTGTTGGAGCTGGGGTCACCAGACTGCAATGGCTGCTGATAACCCAGAAGATAAAGCAACTCCTAAAGGAACTGGCAAAGGAGAGCGCATCTGGGACCGGAAGCACCGTCTCAGGGAGCCCAGAAGCCCCTGTCTTTGTCTATCTACCTTCTGCCCTCCCTCCCCTTATTTGCAAAGGTATTTTCCACTTTGATTTCAGATGGGTATAAACAAAGTCATGGTGCTATTTTTCAGCTTTCTATAACCTACTTCTCACCATTTGTTGTTCCATAAATGAACAACAAATGGCAGTGTGAAATCCTGACATTCTCCACTGCAGTGCTGATTACTAAGTGTTAGACATTTGGGGTCCAGATTATCTCAGGGGTGTTCTCTCTAGCTTATGCGTCAGTGGAACAAAAGTGGTCTTATTTCCAAATATCGCCTCATTCAAAATTCACCCCCATCACCCACGTTCCTTGTTGGAGAAGATAAACATGCTCCTTTGCTTGAGAGCACACCAGGCTGTGAACACGGTGCTGAGAAAAAAGATCTTTTATCACTTCTCTAAAACTGTGGGATGAACTCATGCAGCTGTTTCCTAAGAAATGTGTCTTAGACCTGGCGGGATAAAGTCTCTTCAAAGGCAGATCAAAGAAAGGAGGATCCAAGAATGCGAAGCAAGCCCTGGCACCCTCCCCCCACTGCACCTATAGAGATATTCGCAGCTGCTGAGAGAGCAACTCTTTCCAGCACCCAACGAAGCCCATGAAGAAACTTAAAGAGAAAGGGAGGGTATTAAAGCTGCCAGATGACACATTACTGTGAGGATGAACTCATCCCCGGCTTTGCAGTAGCCAAATAGAACAGGTAATTAATAATAGTCACCTGTCAGTCAGGAAAGCCATAAAAAATGATTAAAATCAAGTTTGATAATAGGACATAAAATTGGACGATAAAAAGTAACAGATAGTTCTGGATTGGAATTCTCCACAATTTGCTTTCCCGGGGCTTCCCCCCCCCCACCCCACCCCCGCCAGCCAAAGCTGCATTTTCTCGTGTCATTTAAAGAATAAGTGGATGTAGGACTGACAAGCTGTTTTAAGAGTCCACGGACAAGCTAAATTAGCATGATTCTTTGGAATTGTTTCAAAGATCTTTGGCTACTATTAATATTTTTAATCTTTCATTTTTATTACGTGTCTGATGGCAGGAACTATGGCAGGAAGCACATTTTGTCAATTAAATAATTAATCCCACAGCATAATAGGCAGTGAGAAAAACTGACATTTGTCAGGTTCAAAAGAAAAAAGAAAGAAAAATGAAAGCTAGGGGGATTTTCATTATGCTTGCTCCACACCCCTCGTTGGTAGCTGACTTTCCTTACTCACTCCTCTCCTGCAAACCCCATGCCTGCTAGACACACTCCCCATATCAAAACACAGGAGGGAAAACGTACAGGCGATGGCTCCCTCTCACGCACCCTCATCACCCCCCCCCCCACGCCATTCAGCTTATTTATGTGCGTGTCAGTTTCCCCACACACGGGCAGGAGAACAGGCCGCAGCTGGGCCAGCTGTCATGTGGAACTGAGGGCTACTGTCGTGGCACCTGCGTGGCGTTGGCAGCCTGAGGAGCAGGAGCTGGCGGCCCTGGGTCAAACCCCAGCTTGGTCTCTCCAGCCTCAAGCCCCTGTGGAAGGCGGCTGCTCTCGGGAGGCTGCTATAAGGTGGCACCAGGTGACCGGGGCTCCCACGGCACCGGCCCCTGCCCAGCACGCCGAGTGGGAAGGAATCCGGCTGGAGAGCTACAATTAGCACCGCATTCCATTGCTGTGTTTCATATCTCCTGATTTACGAGCCTGTCAAGTAAACTGCACTTTTGCTTCTGCTCTTAAGCCTGGTCTCACTCCTTCATTCAGCTGCTCCCGGCAAGAGGCCTGGACCAGCCGCTTGCTCACTCTCCCTTGCCCAGGCCCCTTTCCATCCGGGTCCTTGGCTTGCAAGGAACTGAGTGACAGAACTTCTTGGTGCCTCAAGCCCTCCGGGCTCGGGGTTTCCACGGGTGGTAGGGCCGCTCTGTCAAAAGCAGCACGCACTGGATGAAGGCCGCTGAGGAGGTGACAATTGCAGCTTGCTAATTTCACCGGTGTAGGCCTTCTCCATTCTGTCAAAACTAAACGTCTGCTTGGGGGTGGAGATGAGCCTCTTTGGTGTATCATGCCAAATGGGTCTTTGTGTCTTAACAGAATTCCACCATGCATTTTTTTTTTCCTGATTGACCACTGAACAGTTATTTTTGCTGTAAAAGCCAGGCTTCACATGAGATTCAGCTTGCAAGCATTGCTACAGTGCCTAGATATTTTTTCAGTTGGTGAAAATGTGCCCTAATAATCCAGATTAGTTGTTTTGACACTGTGATACCAAAACCAAAAAATTGCCTTTTGATTGAAAACACACTGCAAAATGAACTAAAAGCCCCTGGATCCAAGAATCTATATTAAAAAAAAAAAAGTGTACTCTCTATATTCTCTTAAAACCATATTAAATCATAAGCTACTTTGCAACCTTTCATAAAATGCAATATCTATAACTTCTAAGGTGTACTCAAGGGTGGGGTGTAGAGATAATATCTCTATAGCAAATTAAATGTGTCGTTTTTGATGTAAATTGGTTTGGCTGAATAAACACTACTTCGGTCCAGTTCAGAGGGCTTGCTCCACCACACCATGCAGGGAAGAAAAGATCCACCAAAAAAAATGTCAAAGTTTGAAATAATTGACAGCATTACTGCTTTTACTTAAGGGGCTCCTGTTCAATATCACACTGTCTGTGTGGTGATTGGAACAGACTGAATCTAGTCTTTGTTTTTGAAGCTTAATTTGTTTTTCCTCATTTCCTAGTTAAATTAGCTAAGGGTTACTAAGTTCTATGTAAATTGACTGTGCAATAGGAAGGTAAGAGCATTTTATTTTCATGAGTTTCAAGACTGTATTAGAAAATAAATATATGTAACTATGAGGGCTAATTTGAGGGAAATCAACCGGTTTAGGATTCTGAAGAGAAGTTACAGAAGTGCCTTCTACAGAGACAAACAGCGTGGAGAAGGGCCCAGCAGAAATTATGCAAGGAACCGAACCATAATGGATTATATTCAAGGAAACCAGGGTGTTTTGAGGTATAATTCAGTATCCTAGATTGACTGCAAGAGAGAAAATGGATCCTCCCCTAAGAGGGTCGGGTATCCCAGAGACAAACTCTTGGTGTAGAGGTCACAGGTAAACCAGAATCAGAACTCTCACTTTCTTGCAGGAGAAAGGTGAGTTTTCTTCCCAATAGTTCCTGTTCTCCTAGTGCCCCTGTACCTGCAAACACAGTGTCTATTTTGATGAGACTTTAGGAGGTGCCAAGGGAGAGGGGCTCCAGGTTGGCACATGGATGCTTTGCCCAGGCCCAGGACCATCAACCTCACCTCTCAAAGGCTGAGCGTGGGACGATTTTCTGTCGGGGTCAGAGTGCCCAAAGGTGACTTTCTGTCTCTAGGCTGGAAAACAACGTGATCTCTAAGATCACCATGTCTTTGTGAGAAGAAGGATGTCAAACTCGAGGGGAAAAAGTAACAGCTACACGTTACATTTGAGCAAGTCTAGTTTGATTAGAACAATGACCTACCTTGTCTGGTGTACTCGTCTGCTTCTCTGTGAACCAAATCCTTTACTCTGTTTCCATAAAGCAGCCGGGAGGAATCATGATCAAACGCTTTCAAGGTTTCGCTGGAACTGTAAGACTTCTGCGTAGGGACTCTGCACTCCTCATTGTCTGCCGAGGAATTTGTATACCGCCGCTCTTTCTCTCGTCTGCTTTTGGTGAGCGAGCAGTAAGGCCTGCGTTCCTTCACATCCATACTTCATTCCTCTGTGTGCTCATCAGCCCTGACTGGCCCACAGTCTGCTCAGGGTTCAGCTCTCATTGGCCTCTCTGTAAAGATAAAAGGTGTGCAGGTTGTCAGTGCAACATTCACCTGAAAACTGAAGACTCTACTTCCTTCTCCACGTGGGGAATGGTGGGAAGGGAAAGGATTGCCTGCCTAGGAAACGAACTTTTAGCAAGAAATGAGAATCTGTGTTATCAGTGGGAAACAGCCATTCTCCCAGCTGTGTACTTGCTGCTAAAAAGACTTAGGGGTACTTGTTTCAGCTACGCTGATCTTTCACATTAATTAAAAACAAAAACAGGTTGCACAGCAGAAGCCAGCGGACAGCTGACCTCAAGGTGTTCGTTCAATCTTTAGAGGTGGAAGTTTTCTCTTGTAGTGTTTTCTTCTTCGTTCACAAATAAATTCCCTTTCTTTCTTTCTATTTCTTTCTCCCCAAAACATATACTACTTTTTAAAGAGAAAAACTGTGAAGTGCAGGAGCCCATCAGGTGAACCTTCAGACTGAAGCTTTGGTAACTAGACTGAACATTTTATTCTTTTCCACAAAGGTTTTTCCTTCAGAGGGTACAGTTTTCAGGTCGTAGGAACCTGGGTCTCCTGAGTTGTGTAATTTCAATGGCTTTCTCTCACACTCCACTCCTTAACATGCATTTCTCTGGAAAGTAAATGTAATCTATGATATTCTGACATATAAACCAATCCAAATGGTTATTAGGTGGCTCCTTTCTTGTAGATGCAGCCAGATAGAGCAGTTGTGTTTTCTTGTTCTCTCCCTTTTCGCGGACTTTGCTCAACTGACGGGAAAGGAGAGCTAGGTGCTGTGCCGGACACAGGCCAGAAGAGGGAGAGTTGACCAGGGCTCATCTGCATTTTGAATAATACTTCAGTCTTCTTTTCTCTTACTGTGACCCCTGGGGACCAGTCTTCAGCCCTGTTCCCCATCCTGCTTCTTCCCAAAATTCCCCTTTTATTTGAAAGAGTCCATCATCAACTTGAAACAAATGGTTCGCAGTGGCTTCCGTTCTTCTCTTTGCCTCCCCATCTCAGGGATAGCACTGAGGACTGAGGTATTTCTACCATTTCGAGTCTCTCTCTTCATCCTTGGCTGCCACAGACACATCACAACTCTGTTTAATGTGCTTCTAACGTGAAGTCTCTGAGCTGATAGTGTGTCTCTGCGGTCGGCTCAGTTTACCTCCAAGCTGTCAAGCAGTCCTGAGTCTTGTTCACAACGTTCCACCACCTGCAGTTACACCTCTGGCAGTCGCCTTCCATCCAGCTCTGGGAAGATGGCGCAGCTCTCTGGGCTGACTGGTCTCGAGGTTCCAGGGCTTAGCCTTGCGGATGTTTGAGCTGCTCCTCCCTGCTGCCTCTTCAGCAACCTACAGCCTCTCCACACGTATTGCCAGCAAATGGTTAGCTTACATGGAGAAGCCTCTGCATTTCTCTGCTACTAAGCCAGGGATTAAAAGTACAGCTAGTCCTCACTGAATGGCCACAGATTCTTGAAAATTTCAACTTTAAGCAGCAACCATGTGTAATCAAACCGGCTCCATTGTTTCATTCAACATCCTCGGGGATTTATTTCTTCTCATCAGCATTATAAGAAAGCGACACTGAACAATGCGATCTGAGGACTTGCTGACACAGCTAATATTTCACCTTGCTGTTGAAAAGCTTCTTGACTTTTCATGCACCTGATCTTTCTTTACAACTAATATTTCGCAGTGACTTATTCTGATTCATTCTTCCATTATTCTCTTTAGGATTTTCCAATAGCTCTTAACAAAAGTTGGATTCCTCTTCTTGTAGCCTTCCTTTTAGTTTAAGATAATAACTAATTTTGAAGTACTGTGACAGAGACTATTTTTATACAACAGCATTAAAACAACAACACATCAGTTCGCTCTTTTTATTCCACCAAACTAAAGTTACTCTGGATAAATATTTATCTAATGACTGTTAGGTCTTAGGCTCTCTTTAATGTGCTGAGGACACACACTATTGAATAATAATGCCCCTGCCCTAGTGGGGTGTACAGGGGGTGGGGGGGTGCACATTCGTTCTAATAGAGTAAAGGAAAATCTTGTTTTAAAAATAGTCTTGATCTCTTCACAGGAAAGGCCAGATAGACTTTTATAACTAAATGATCATCAAAAAGCTTTTAATTGACCAGAAAATATTACAATTCAAACATTTTTAGTAATAGCGCTTTGGGAGTTGAAATAATTATAAAAGTTCCATTTCTTGCCCTAAGGTGACATCTATTTTAAAATAAGTGTGGCTATATATACATGTAAGTCTGCATTTTTATACTTTAAAAATGGACTGATTGAAGCAAGGCAAATTGTCCCCCCTCATTATAGTTGGCTTCAATTAAACCAGACATCGGTGAACTCGAGCCTGCTGTCCAAATCTGACCCATAACTAAAGTTTTATTAGAACACAGCACCCACATTTATTTATGTATTATCTTTGGCTGTGCTCAGGCTACAAAGACAGCATTGAATGACTGCAGCAGGGACTGTGGTGGCCTGAGTTGTGTCATCCAAAATGACCTGTTAAAGTCACACTCATCATATCTGTCAGTGTGACGACCTGGGATATGGTCTTTGTAAATGTAATCAAGTTAAGAAGGTCCTACTGGAGGAAGCTGGGTGCTAAAGCCAATGACTGGTGTCTTTATTAGAGAGGAGGGAGGGAGATTTGGCTACAGAGACACACACACACACAGGAGAGAAGGCCATGTGGAGGGAGGCCGAGATCACCGTCAGGGCGTTGTGAGCAGAGAATGCCAAGGGCTGCCAGCAAAGGCCTTGGACAGGGGCATGGGGCAGCTTCTTCCCTGGAACTGAGTGGGAGCACGGACCTACCAACTCCGTGATTTTTAGACACCTTGCCTTCAGAGCTAAAAGCATAACTTTCTAGTGTTTTTAAGACACCACAATTGTGGTAATTTGTAACTGCAGCCCTAGGAAACGAGTACAGAGAAACCGGATGAACTGCAAAATGTAAACTATTTACTACCTGGTCCTTCAGTGAAAAAACTGGCTCATACCTGTGTTATGTACATGTATTCCCATCCTGCTTTCCCTTGTCCCTTTGTATCTCTGAATGTAAAAATCTCCTTACTATATAACCCATGATACATGCTTATAGTCATGCAAATTAGATTGTCAATACGTTCATTAAGTACTAATACGAACATGCATCATTCCAAGCAAAGATTCATCCTTGTATGAATGTCACCAATGTTTATAAATCAATACCCGTTAAATGTTAATAAACTAGTAATAAAAAAGATAAGACACCCTTGAGCTTTAGCGAGCAACCAAATATCTGAGTTTTCTTTATTTGTGAAGCAATTTTAAAGTGCCATGCTAACTCAAGATCTAGTATTCAAATATACCATCAAAGACAAAGACATTTTGATCTCAGAGATTCCAGACAATAAAAATGCCTTTGCATCTGTCTTTCCACCTTTGTGCATACTTCAAACTCTTGAAGGATTTAATCTACACTGTAATGTTTGCAACTACTGATAATGTTTCTGATGGGAGTCAATGAGTTCAATATGACTTCAAAAGGCAGTTTTCTGTGTTATCTGCTGCACTTAAGACTGAAGATGAGAAAGTTAAAAAATGCAGCTGCCTACGTAATGCTATGTATGCACAGCTATCGCAGCAGCCAGTATTGAATGACCAAGATCTTAGCTGCATCTATGGCAGGGCCTCTGGAAACCTACAGAAAGCTATCAGAAGAAAAGTTGAGTCGGCTACATCAAGTATATAACATTATCAATCTAATCTAACTAATTCCATTAGCTCTTTGAAAATATAGCACAGCTCCTCACCATAGCACTGAAAAATGCAGTTGGCCTTAGGGCAAATGGCTTAATTTGGTTATTTGGGGGTTTTCCCCTAAATCTATTATAAAACATTTGACTGACTAAAGGGTGTGCGGGGGTCCTGACATGTAGACATTAGAGTTGCAGGGAGGTGAGGAGTCCAATTCTCCTTTGCAGATATATTACTCAAACATGCATTGAAATTTGGCCAGAGAAATTAGCTAGGTTATTACATTATTTCATAATATGTTCCTAATTCCAAAGATAACCTTTTTTTTTAATTGACCCCTTACAAAATAATCTGGTTTTATTTTGATTGGAATGTGTATGTTTTTGAAAACCCTGGATGCCAGTGATCACAATTCATACCTACAATAAACATCCCTAAAATCCACTGTACTTCTCTATCTATCAACAGAAGATGAAAAGAAATCTCCAAATCCTAAGGATTAAGTAACTGTTGGCCAAAATTACTCATGCTTCCGTAGTGATTTATTTTCTCTAAGAATTACAAATTCCTGAATGTCACCATGAAAATCTGCATAAGTGCCCTCCCATCTTTTCAATCATTTGGAAAAGCTCACCAAAAAGCAAGCAAGCAAGCAAGCAAGCAAACAAACAAACAAACAAACAAACAAACAAACAAACAAACGAAAAACCTAGCAGCCTTCAGGCAAACAGTAATTTATGTTAAAAGATATTTTACAATAAGTATATTTAGTAAATTTCTTTGAAAATAAGAAATGTGTGCCTTTTGTTACTCACAACTCATATCTTCCTTAATAAGTTCGTATTTATGCTTTATTTGTTGATCAAAATACAACTTTGCATACCTTAAAGATCTCCAAGTGTTTTCTATGTTGAAAACTAGATTAATGTCAATTGGACAGACAGGAAGTCAATTACTATTGTTAAATTTCTTTTTCAGGAAATTTTTTTTCCTGGTGAAACTTTATAAATTACATAATAGAATGTCTCTTAATTAAAAAGGATTAAGTGAAAATATACACTTTATGACTATTCTTTGGGAGTGCTAAATTCAAGTTTGAAATCTGAGCTTCTATTTTCAAATAGAAGAATGCAATAGAATCTAGTTCTTGTGTGATATTTGTGCAGGAAAAGTTAAAATGCAAACAAAACTGGGAAAAGAAATAC